GTCTTTTTGTTTTTTGCCACTTCTAAGTAAAAATTTTTTGTTGATTTTAGGGGGATGTTAAAAAGGGACCTGTTTTGGCCTAATATTTCAATAGTTGTTTTGTAGTACTGAGACATTTTGTTGTCCCAGTGTTTTGGAAAATTGTTCTGTTTTAAAAAATTCCAGCATGGGTTTTGGTTTGTAAATTTAATAAGTGAACTTGCTAACCAGTACTTTGAAAAGTAGTAATTATCGTGGGTGTTCTCCTCTCCGCATTCTTTCAGTTGAAAGAGTGTTTTGAGGCGGAGCGCAAGGCTTTGCTCCTTCGGTGATAGAATTCCGAGACCCCCGCTTTTGACGGGTAAGAAAAGCGTCTCTCTTTTGACCGGATTAAAATTGGTCTTTTGCCACAGATTTTCGAAAATGGCGCTGTGCAAACGTTTTATTACCCATTCGGGAACGGGCAACACGTTTGCCAGAAACCACACTTTTGACAATGCTAACGTATTTATCAACATAGTCTTTCCCCTAAGTGACAAAGTACGTAGTCCCAGAAACTTGAGTTTTTTCTCTATTTTGGTTAGAGTTACTAGCCAGTTGAAATTGGTAGTATTACTCAGCCTGGTGTAAAACGTAACACCTAGAATTTTGAAACCGGTGTTATTAGTCCACTCTATGTTGTCCAATTCCGGGTACATTTTGGGATCAAAACCCCCAAGAGCAAGACCCTTGGTTTTTGAGGCATTGATCACTGAACCACTTGCTTTTTCAAAAAGTTTTACTGCTTCAAAAAAAAAACGGACTGATTTTACGTCCCTGGCAAAAAAGTTCGAATCGTCTGCGTACTGCTGTAGTTTAAGCGGTTTCGGTGTTCCTGGTAAAGGGAAACCCTCTATTCTGCTGTCCGCTCTGACCACCAAAGCAAGAGCTTCGGCGACAAAGACGTACAACAAAAGAGAGAGTGGGTCACCTTGTCTAACTCCCCTTTCGGTGGGAAAAGGGGCTGATAAGAAACCACAATTCAGAATAGATGCCGAAATTTCTGAATACAGGGTGTTAATAAAGGATACGAAATTTTCTCCGAGGTTGAATTTTCGGAGAATTTGCAGCAGAAACGCACGATCGACTTTGTCAAACGCCTTTTCTTGGTCTATTGATAAAATGAAACTAGGTAGATTTTTAAATTCAGCGTAATCTATTAGATCACGGACAAGGTGTAAATTTGAGAATATTGTTCTACCTGGAATTCCGCAAGTTTGATTTGGTTCTATAATTTTCCCCATTACTTTTGCAAGTCTTAGGGCCAGCGCTTTTGTGATTATTTTGTAATCAGCGCCGATTAAGGATATGGGCCTCCAATTTTTGCATTCAGTGAGATCTCCTTGCTTGGGAATTAGTGAAATTATTGATTTTTTCATAGAGTGGCTGGTATTTTTTTCTACGAAAAGTATTTCGTAAGCAAGCTCTTCAAAATCTTTTTCTAAAATGTGCCAAAAAGTTTTATAAAATTCAGCTGGAAGTCCGTCATAGCCCGGGGATTTTCCGTTTTCAAATTTAAATAGGGCTTCTTTTAACTCCGCGCCGGTTAGGCAGGTGTTTAAAAATTTGTTTTCATCATCACTCAAATGTTTAGTGATGTGTGACAAGACATAGTTTTGGCTGTCTTTGCATAAATTTGTTTTGGTGTAGATGTTTTTGTAATAAGAAACGAGGGATTTTAAAATCTCGCCAGGTTCACTCGTCAATGTTCCGTCGTTCTTGCGAACTTCGGTAATTGACTTGTTCCTCTGTTGAGTTTTTTCCAAACTGTACAAAAATTTTGAAGGTTTTTCTCCTTCTTCAACTAGTTTTTGCTTCGTGCGAATAAACGCTCCTGGGAAATGGAGCAAGAAAAGAGCATCGCGTTTTTCTTTGATGCTATCTAAATTCGGGTTGGCGTTTTGTCGCTCCCGTTGGATTTCGTTTTCAATCCTTTTGATCTGTTTTTTGTTTTTCGCACTTTCCTGAATAGATATATGTTGTAATTCTGCCCTAACAAAAAGTTTGCAGTCGTCCCACCATTTTAAAATTGAGTTGTAGGACCGTTTTCTAGTTTGCCAATCTTTAATTGAGAGTTCAATTTTTTGCCTAATCACTTCTATTTCCAAAAGAGAACAATTTAATTTCCAGTATCCTGGTCCTCTCCTGGTTTTTCTATAATATACCTATATAATATTTTATATAATATACCTATTTTCTATAATATACCTATAATATTTTCTATAATATACCTATATAATATTTTCTATAATATACAAATAATCTACCTTATCTAATTTCTTATAGAAAAACCTCGTGCAACAATTAAACAATTTTCAGATTGTTTACATTCGCGCTTTATTTACAAATATTTTTATGATGTCATATTAATATGTGATGACATATTTTCAACTAACATAACGGTAAACATAACGGTTAAACATAACACCTTACATATATATACCAATATACAAATAACTGTGGCTAAAATAACACTTTAGACATATTTATTACTAATATAACGGTAAACATAACGCCAAACTTTTCATTTACCGTTATGTAACCGTTATGTTAGCGTTATATTTTTTGCTGTGTATACATGTTTGAGAGCAAGCAATAATTTTTAACGATGCATTAGTTGGATAGAAGAAAAAACATTGGCAAATTCAGAATATGTCTGCCTTGTTGAAAAACATGGATCATGTCCACATGGAAACAGCAACAATGCACAATCTACTTATGTAAAAACATCCAGATCAGCCATGGATTCTATTGCCTCACAAATAAAAACCAGACTACCTAAAGAGATTTACCAGGATCTACTGCTAAACCATGAAGAAAACGATGCTCCAAGGGATCCCAAACAGATACACAACAAAAAATATTACAATAATATGAAAAATACGACACTAAGATCAACAAGAAACCAAAGAAACTTAGCAGACAATGTTTAACAAGTCAGTTATGTTCTTCATGATCACCTTTTTGTGCAGAGTTTAGAGCAGAAAAAGAATAAAATTCCAGCTGCAATTCTTTATTTGGAAGAAACGGTACAACAAAAGAAAGCTATGTATTCAAGTGCTCGTTCTTCAATCATTGGGATTGATCAAAATTTTAATCTAGGAGAAGTTTGTATCACTGTTACAGTATTTAAGATGCAGGTTGTATTCCGCAAAGATCTTCAATTGAATCCGATCTTCATTGAGCCATGGCTCCTGCATAGTGATGCATTTGATGGCACATACGCCCATTTCTTTACACATTTATGGAATAAATTCAACGAAGTATTATGCAAAACGGAAAATTTATTTTTTGAACTGATCAGGAAAAGGCAATGGTGTCAGCAATAAAATTTGCTTTTCCAGAATCCAATCAGGTCTTGTGTATCCGACACATAAAAAAAATGTAGAGTCATATCTGGCACACAAAGTTGGACTGGAAAAAAAAAATGCTTCAAGTGGTTATGAATGGTTTGTTTGAAAGTCAAGGTGCAGTGTTGTCAGATGATTTGATCATATTTGAAGAACG